AATATTACATTTTTAATTGAAAATCAGATGAAAAAGGCAAAAGAAAAAAAAGAAATGAAATGACATGTAGGCACCTGACGTAATTCAATAAAAACCGAAGTCGGTGAACAGAAGATGATCAATCAAAATTTAATTGAAAAACACAATGACAGATCAAGAACAACGTTGCAGCGGGGAAATTTGGCATTTAATCTTGATTGTCAAGCTAGAAAGAGTTCTAAGCGAATAAGACACAATCATTGATTATTTCTACAATCAGTATAAATAATATACAGAGGAAAGAACATCTCAGGTTGTTAAACAGAAAATTACTTATGAACACTGAGAACTCAAGCAATCCGTCTCCTTCGTGGACATGTCTTTACGGCAACCTTCCGATGAAAATGGAATATTTTGACTTTGATAAATCTTTTGCAGTATTTGTAGCTCTAAGCGTGTTCACTATGGCGAATGCTTTMGTYAGTGTTATTGKSAATWCTCTMCTTATCGCKGCCATATTGACAACACCAAGATTGAACACACCATCTTATCATCTTATTGTAAGTCAGGGTTTTAGTGATATTCTAATGGCACTCTCCTTTCTTCTATTATTCGTATTCTTAGTATATGGACTGACGGGAAACCTCCACRAAGGATGCTTGATATGGTATTCCTATGGAGCAGCTACGCTGGGTTTTGCATGGATCTCAGTTCTCAATTCTATGTTTATAAGTATTGATCGATACCTAGCTGTCCGTTTAGGCATACGATATAGGACTGTAGTCACAATGAAGAGAATTCGCAATGTTTTGCTTATTGTTTGGCTTCTTGCACCAGCATTGCCTACAATTGGATTAGCTTTYATCGMAAAMCCCTTATATTGTGCGATTGGTGTTTTGGTCTTTGGAACTATTAGTTTCAGCGTGATCAGTATATGCTATTWTAAAGCCTTAAAACTCATCAAGAAACATGTTGACACCATGAGCGCAGCTAATCCTACAAGGCCACAAATACAGCTAGAAAACCAAGTCACTTTGMGAARTTCTGCATTGGAAGSCGCATCAAGAACCGARTCTCCAGAAACCAACTCTGAAATTCACGCAAGGTCTTCTTCCACCAGACTGGAGGTTTACAATTGCAGAAAAAGTATCTGGACGTTGCTCATTATAGAAATGATATTTATAGTGATGGTACTTCCAATTATAATTGCTTGGGGATATGTTGTGATATATCAAATAAACGCAAAAAGTACAGTGCTCCTTACGTCTGCAGCCACCGTGTGGCATTGTACATCAATAGTCAACCCTGTAATACACTTCTATAGAGTAAATGATGTGCGGAAAGCCTGTCGATCAGTACTGCTGAAGTTGAAGTTGTGTTCTTGGCAATAGGTATTTAGACCCTTAAATGACATGGTTATTCCCTACATTGCCTACGATGAATTTAAACTCTTGAAACCATTTTAAAGCGACTCCTTCAAAGTTCGTATATCTAATGAAGCCTTCTTTGACGTCACTTCATTAGCATTTTCAATTTTCAAATGCCTTTAAAACTCAGAAACTAG